CGACAGGCACCGACAACCTTGCGGCCGCAGCTCTGGTAAGCCGCCTCGACAATAGAGGCACGAAACATGGTCCACTCAGACTCAATGTCCCCCACCTCCCTCAGAACATGTTCAAAGTTCTCCCGGAGGTGGGAGTTGAAACTCCGTCTCACAGGAGACTCTGACAGACGTTCCCAGCAAACCCTCACAATACGTTTGGGTCTGCCAGGTCTGACCGGCATCCTCCCCCACCATCGGAGCCAACTCACCACCAGGTAGTGATCAGTTGACAGCTCCGCCCCTCTCTTCACACGAGTGTCCAAGACATGTGGCCGCAGATCAGATGAGACGATGACAAAGTTGTAGATGAACATATCCTGAGATATTCACCTGATTAAAACGGATTCTTTCATTTTTCTGGACTGAATATAAACGTGCATTGAATTTAATAAAATGTAATGTGTGACGTTATTTATCTTTGACCCATCAAAATGAATGTGGTCATTTATTTACAGAATCAAAGTTTAACATCAAACATTTACATTAATTTGGCAAAATATGAAAATAACAACATAATTAATCAGCAAGCTGTACAATTATGATCAATTATCCACACGGCGGTGGATGAGCACTTTACACAGACATTTCTAAAATATCTGGAATGATTTCTACTTGATAGAAGAATTTAAAGATGGAAAATTAAGTTTAAAGGGAGTAAAAGATGGTGTGTGAGGGAGAGTGTTGACCAGAAACAACACTCTCCATTCGAACCCAGCTTTCCTCGGTACGCTCGGTAGTGAACTTGACTCGTTACCTCTCTGAAGATGAATCAGCGGATACAGAGTTCCAGTTAACGCTACCTGTCCAGCGTCTCCATAGGATGGCTGTGACTCGTCCGAAGTAGTGACGATATTCCGTCTGACACAAGTTCACCTCAGCCAGTGGACCTCACATGAGTGGGGTTCGTCCGAGTTCCACTCAGAGGTGGAAGATGTTATAATCCCAATCTCGGAAGAGCCTTATCATGGCTGGACTTCTGTTCTCCCAAACGACTGGAGCTGCAAACTCTCCAGCCCGACTCCAACGGCAACTCACAGAACTCAGAGAACTAGGAAGTACCGACATTTTAAAGGGCTCTATTTCCGGTTCATTTGGGAGTTTTCTTATTGGTCAATGTCGACCAGACAGGGGTGTGTTTTGTGACGTAAAAGGTTACTAGAAGTCAGAAAACAGCAAGAATGTGTAGTGAACCTAACCTGATGTCAAATCTGACCAGATGGACAGAAACTGTTATTTCATTGATCTGCATCCAGAAATACAGTTTGACCCATCCTGAGACTTTCTTTCTTGAATTAATCAAGTAGAAAAGACAATTCTCTATGATCATTACTATTTTACAAATGTTTTGATAATCAAATTGTGTTAGTTCAAACAATGTTTACAGGTTGAAGAGAACTACTCATTTTTATTTACATAAACAGTAAGTAATGATTTTTATTCCTCATTCAAAGAAGAAATCAGGTTAATATGCAGTTCTTGATTTTCTGTCTTCAATGAGCAAGTTTGTAAGTGTGTGTTAAAGTTCAGGTTTCGGTCAACTAAAAAAGTTTACTGAAAAGAAATGTCATGTTTAACTTTTACAGAAGATACAGGAGAGTTTGACTCCACGAAGTCTGGTTTTCTCCAATAATCTTTCTGTCTGTGTTAAACAAACTTAATCTCTATCCTTGAATTTTCATAACACCTTACATCACAAACCACACCTCTGTTCTGGTCCATCGACCAATTAGAAAGCTCTCAAATGAACCGGAAGTCGACCCATTTAAATGTGGCAACTTCCCAGTTCAGCGTGTGCGCTCTCGGATGCAGCTCATGGAGTTTTTCAGAGCTTGAAAGTTTTCCTGGAGAAGAGTTCCAGACTTTAACTCTCTGAAGAGAGTTAAAGAGTTCAGAGTTCTTGGATGCTAACGCAGGCGTCCAGGATGCTTCTATTGGAATCCAGAATCCAGAGACGATTTTGGGAATTATAACTTCTGTTTGGATAACCTCGCACGACTCTCGAAGTATTTTAGCTGTTCTCAACGGAGACGCTGAAAGAGTCAAAGGAAGGACTTCACGCCGACCTGACCTATCATCAACCAGGTAAAAGTTCTACTTCGACCAAGCGTACCGTGACCAAGCTGAGAACTGAAGGAGCGTGCACGTTTCTGGTCAAACAGATAAATTCCCTCCCACATCTCTCTGTAAGATAAATCTCCATTTTCCATCTTTAAACTCTCCTTTCTCCTAAAATCATCACAGATATTTTTAGAAATGCCTGGAGCAAAGTTCTCAATCACCGCCGTGTGATTGATGTCTGCTGTTTCTGCTGAAAAGTGAGGACAATCGCCGTATTGTCCCACTTCCTGTGAAACTAGCCATGTTATTGTTTTCATATTTTGCCAAATTAATGTAAATGTTTGATGTTAAACTTTGATTCTGCAAATAAATGACCGCATTCATTTTGATGGGTCAAAGATAAATAACGTCTCTCGTTACATTTCTGTTAAACTCAATGCACGACATTTACACAGTCAGAAAAATGAAGAACCCGTCTTAAATGTATGAATATATCCTGCATATGTCATACTACAAATGTTATGGAACAGATTGAAAATGTTTTCAGACAGGCGAGAGAAATGTTTGGGCGAGTTTGGAGAAACAGGTGCCAACTTCTCTGTTTGCGTCTGAGAGGATTTAAAAACAAGACAGTTGTTCCAACACTTGTCTGCTTCGACTCCGACCTTGGAACAAACGTACACTGCTCATTCAAAGACAGAAAATCAGAAAATGCATAATTACTCTGTAACAGGCCTTAACATGAATTCTAACTTTGCATGAGGATTAAAAAATCATTGTTACTGTTTTCACAGTTAATTAAAAATGATTAGTTCACTGCAACATCTAAAATGGTTTGAACTAAAACACTTTGATTATCAACATTTGTAAAACAGTAATGATAATAGAAAAGAGAGTGTTCTTTCACTTGAATTTTCAAGAAAGAAAGTCTCAGGATGGGTGAACCTGTATTTCTGGATTCAAATCAATGAAATGACAGTTTCTGTCCCACAAGGTTCTTAAGGTCAAGGGTTTGACCTTAGGCCTAGTTCACTACAAAGTCGATCATCGAACTGCGGCCTAGGGTGTCCTGGTGCCAAGAGCACATATGGACACCCTTATGCTTGAACAAGGTGTTTGTTATTGACAATCCATGACGAGCACAGAAGTCCAACAACAGAACACAACTCTGGTTCAGATCAGGGGGGCCGTTCCTCCCAACCACACCCCTCCAGGTCTCAATGTCATTGCCCACATGAGCATTGAAGTCCCCAAGCAGAACAAGGGAGTCCCCAGAAGGTGCACTTTCCAGTACCCCCTCCAAGGACTCCAGAAAGGGTGGATAATCTGAACTGCCGTTTGGTGCATAAGCACAAACGACAGTCAGAACCCGTCCCCCCACACGTAGGCGGACGGAGGCCACCCTCTCATTCACTGGGGTGAACCCCAATACACAGGCACCAAGTTGGGGGGCAAGAAGTACGCCCACGCCTGCTCGGCGCCTCTCACCAGGGGCAACTCCAGAGTGGAAGAGTGTCCAGCCCCTCTCAAGGAAACTGGTTCCAGAGCCAGAGCTATGCGTAGAGGTGAGTCCGACTATTTCTAGCCGGAACCTCTCAGCCTCACACACCAGCTCAGGCTCCTTCCCCACCAGTGAGGTGACATTCCACGTCCCAATAGCCAGCTTCTGTAGCCGAGGATCAGACCGCCAGGGTCCCCGCCCTCGGCCACCACCCATCCCACATTGCACCCGACCCCTTTGGCCCCTCCCACAGGTGGTGAGCCCATGGGAAGGGGGACCCACGTCTCCTCTTCGGGCTGTGCCCGGCCGAGCTCCATGGGTAAAAGCCCGGCCACCAGGCGCTCGCCCGCGTGCCCCACCTCCAGGCCTGGCTCCAGAGTGGGGCCCCGGTGACCCACGTCCGGGCAAGGGAACACTAGGTCCATTTATTTGTGTCATCATCGGGGTCTTTGGGCTGCACTTTGTCTGGTCCCTCACCTAGGACCTGTCTGCCATGGGTGACCCTACTAGGGGCATAAAGCCCCTGACAGCATAGCTCCTAGGATCATTGGGACACTCACACCCCTCCACCACGGGAAGGTGGCAGCCCAGGGAGGGGACTTTAAAACATATCCAACATTAATACAACTTACCTCAAGTTGCCTTTTTGGACATGCATGCATATATTTGTACAAATTGTACTTGAGAGGAGATTATTACAGCCTCATATAAAATCTATAATGATCATGATATCGGAACTGGATCGGTATCGGCCGATATTTAGTTTTAGGTATCGGGATCGGATCGGAAGTAAAAAAAAGTGGATCGGTGCATCCCTAATATATATACATATATATATATATATATATATATATATATATATATATATGTGTGTATATATGTATATATATATATATATATATATATATATATATATATATATATATATGTGTGTGTGTGTGTGTGTTTTTTTAACCCATCCAGAGGACCTGACTTAACTTTGTTAGATTTTTCTACTTGGATTATTCAGCATTCATCAGGATAATTCTTCATAAGCTTCACACAATCAAATCACTCCTGTGTGATTAAGGTGTGTTTTATCACTCCTGTGTGATTAAGGTGTGTTTTATCACTCCTTTGTGATTAAGGTGTGTTTTATCACTCCTGTGTGATTAAGGTGTGTTTTATCACTCCTGTGTGATTAAGGTGTGTTTTTTGTGTTTTTAAGGTACAGGAAAGCAGACGAGAGGGAGCCGATGCTGGCAGCGATGCATATTTTCCTACCGAGAATTCAACAGCTCATCAGTCAGCTCCTAGTTGATGTCACCATCTTCTCTGTCCTCATTCAGAAACAAATCCTAAAAATTTTTTACGCGTTTGTACAGGTGTGTCTTTGTGTGTACATGTGTGTAGTAGAGCTAACGTAGGCAATTCAAGTTTTGTTATAGTTCTTTCTATTGGAACATACATAAAAAATATTTAAAACCTTAGTTCTTCAAATCAGGTAAAAACAACCTCAAATGAAGAAAAGCACTACGGTACTTCTGATATAGTGTGATTATTTATTTTTAATAAACTAATCCAAATGGAAGAGGCCGTGTATGAAAATATCTTCCATGGAGGCAACTTGTCTTCTTTTAACACGTTCTTTAAGGTATGCAGACATTGGTTTCTACTCCGCTGTCTTGAAGGACTCGTCACAACATTTCAATCAGGCTTAGGTTTTAGACTTAAATTGGACCATTGCAGCACCATAATTCTTTGCTTATTCAATTCAGTTCAGTTAATTTATATATCGCCAAATCACAACAGAAGTTGTCTCAGGACACTGAGACAACAGATAGAGTAGAGTAAGTAAAGACATCAGTAGAGTGAAGAAATGTGATCAGTTTGTCCTCCAGCAGTCTAAGCCTATAGCAGCAGAACTAAGGGACAGCTCAGGAAACCCAAACCAACCATAACTATAGTTTTCTTCTTCTTCTTTGGGCATTTCCCTCTTCAGGGGTCACCACAGTGAGTCATCCTCCTCCATCTCACTCTGTCCTCTGCATCCTCTGTTTCCACTTCAACTACCTCCATGTCCTCTCTAACTGCATCTATCTTCTCTTTGGCTTTCCTGTATGTCTTTTTCCTGGGAGCTGCATTTCTAACATCCTTCTACTAATACCCACTGTCCCTCCTCTGGACATGTCCAAACCATCTCCGTCTGGCCTCTAACTTTATCTCTCAGTTGTTCATCCTGTGCTGTACCTCTGATGATCTCATTCCTAATCTTATCCACCCTCTTCACTCACAAGGAGAACCTCAATATCTTCATTTCTACCACTTCCAGTTGTTTCTCCTGTCTTTTTGTCAATGCCACTGTCTCCAGACCATACAACATAGCTGGTCTCACTATTGTCGTAAACTTTTCCTTTGACATTTGCTGACACCCTTTTGTCATAAATTCATTCAACATTTTTTTAGACAGGTTAATCCCATTGAGCCTCGAGGACTCATTTACAAGAGAGACCTGATTTCAACAAAGAATGATGACAACAATGGACAACAGCGACAACAATAAACATTTATAAAAAGTCATACAATTATTATTATTTTTTTTTAACAAATAGGATGGCTAAAAAAAAAAGAAAAGCAAAAAGAAAAGTAACAAAAAACAACTAGATTCTAAGGCGAATGTAGAAAACTAAAAACAGGAACATGTCTTTTCCTGTCTGGGGGAGTGGTGGCGCAGAGGTTAGAGAGGTGGGCCTGTGATCCGAAGATCGCCGGTTCACGCCCCGGCCCCGACAACATCAAAATTGTGTGTGGGGTAGGTGAAACACCCACACTTGCCCCCACCCTCATTCGCCCCACTCTGGGCCCATGAGCAAGGCCCTTAACCCCCACTATGTGCTCCCTAAACAGGTCTCTCTTGAAAATGAGTTCTCGTGGCTCAATGAGACTAACCTGTATAAATAAAGGCTAAATGAAAAAAAAAATGTCTGCATTGGTCCCTGCTAGGAGTCCAACAGATTCTTAAAGCCACTTATGCCCCTTTTCCATTAGTACCGGTACTTAGCACCTGTTACTATTTTCAGAACCCTTGGCTCTGTGGTTCTAACCCGAACGAAGATGTACTAAAACGTGACGTCAGAACACTGTCGGTCACTGATTGTTCGGGGGCGGAGTCACTGGATCCTTCAGAAACTTTTCAAAACAATCCAAAAAAGTTCAATCTGGTCCTCTGGACATTCAAAAAAAAAAACAAAGCAAAAAAATCTAGAAACGTTTCGTCTCTCATCCAAGAGAGAGAGGTCTCAGTCTCTGATAGAGGACATTTGCAAACCGAGGTGTACCGCAAACCCACCCACACAGACCAGTATTTGCAGTTTGACTCTCTTCACCCTTTGGAGCACAAGTTAGGAGTCATCAGGACTCTGTATCACAGAGCAGACAGCATCCCCACTAGCTCGGGAGCCAGGCAGAAGGAGAAATCCTACACAAAACGGGCTCTAGAGCAATGTGGATATCCTAACTGGGCCTTCCTGAAAGCAGAGAAGAAACCCAAACAGGACTCCAGTCAGCCATCAGGTGAAAAGGAGGAACCCAGACCCAGACCAGTGGTCATTCCGTATGTTGAGGGGGTATCAGAGAAACTGAGACGTTTATTTTCTAAACATAACGTCCCAGTGGCTTTTAAACCCCAAAATACATTACGGCAAAGACTGGTTCATCCCAAAGATCCAGTCCCCCGGCACAAACAGAGTAATGTTGTGTATGCTGTTCAGTGTCAGGAGGGCTGTGATCAGTCTTACATCGGGGAAACAAAACAGCCACTGGCCAAAAGGATGGCCCAGCACAGAAGATCAACATCATCAGGCCAGGATTCTGCGGTCTACACTCATCTCCAGGCCAGCGGTCACTCTTTCAAGGATGAAGATGTTCACATCCTGGACAGAGAGGAACGATGGTTTGAGAGAGGAGTAAAGGAGGCCATCTTTGTGAAAAGAAATCGTCCATCGTTAAACAGGGGTGGAGGCCTCCGGGTTCAACTGTCCCCCTCTTACAATGCTGTGATTGCTAGTATCACTCAGCCCTCTGTGAATAGTAAACAGCCATCAGTGTGCTAATGATCCATTGTTAGGCTGATGGCCCTTCTTGAGCATGTTATCAGCTGGTTTTGGTTGTCAGCAGCAAAACTGGTTGATCCACTCTGAGACGGTGCTATTTAAGAGACTGAGCTGAATACAGCTCCTCAGACTGAGGAAGTCTCTTGGATGAGAGACGAAACGTTTCTACATTTTTTTGTTGATTTGCTTTGTTTTGTTTTTTTGAATGTCCAGAGGACCAGATTGAACTTTTTTGGATTTTTCTACCTGGATTATTGAGCATGCATCAGGATATTTTCAAAACAATGATCCACCATTTGCAATTTCTCGGACTGGAGCAGCGGCTGAACTTATTTTAAAGATTTTAAAAACAATACTGACAACATCTTGCTGATGTGCTGGCGTTTTTTGTGCTTGGTGGCTGACGACATAATTCAGAGCAAGCTGGATGGAGCTCTGCTGGTGTACCCCGATCCTACCCCCCGAGCCTCGGAGCGCCAGGCCGGGCAGGGCGTCATCTCCCCGACTCCGAGTTCCGCTGGTCTCCGCGGAAGATCCTTCGATGTGCCGACTCGGAGACTCTGGTTCCGGATACCAGCGTTGTGTGCTCAGAGCTCCGCTGGTCACTGCGAAGCTGGAGATGGGGACTCGCAGACGGCCATTGCGAGACCCCGACCGTGCGTAATCATGAAGGCTGAATCCCGATCCCACCCGGCAGTCAGGCGGACTGGACAGTGTGGGACGGACGCTGGAAGCGATTTTTAAATAAAATAATATTTTGTTTTTATACAAAAAATGTTTTTAAAAATTGCTGAAGCGATTTAAAAATGACTATTATTTTTTTTACACGTAAAATGTTTTTTAAAATCGATTCCACCGTCCGTCGCAGACCCGTCTCTGTCTGCCTGTCTGCGCGGGTCGGGCCTTCATGATCATGCGCGGCTGGGGTCTTGGAACGGCCTCTGCGAGTCACCAGCTGAGCTCGGAGCTGGGA